TATAAGTAAAATAAAATCTCTTTTTAAAAAAGAATATTCAATGAATACAATAAACTGTGTGTAAAATAAGTACTTTATACTTATCTGTGTATACTTAGTTGTATAAAATATAAAACATACTAAGGAAACAACACTTTCATAAATTACAGTTTATTTTTGCTTTAAGGCTACTAGGGAAAGTGTTTACTGGACTATTTCACTGGGTCACCCAATAGTACATAATTACCATTTGCTATCAACAACTTTAAATGACTGTTAATAAAAGTTAATAAAAAGTTTATTAATCACTCATCAGTGACAACATAATGAAAGCCATTCGGTTCCACTCATTAAAACATATTTAGTTCATATATGTTAAAGCATTTCAAAATCCATTCCAGTCATTCACCACTTAAGGTCATTTTAGTCAATGATGGTCCAGAGAGACAGACCAGGCTGTCCCAACAGGCTGTCCCCTAGCCTGGCTGTGTAACAGGCTAACACATCTAGAGATCCATAATTACAGTCACCACATCTCACAACAAAAAAATCACCTAGTGCCTATTTCAGAATGTACACCCACCCTTAAAGAACACAGCACTACGTTTCATAACCTCAAGACTATTCTTTCTGCCTCTGCTGTCTTGAGGCATTCTTGTTATTCTGACAGGATTGATTTTCTTATCTCCAGTTTCCAAGAGTGAGTCTCATATTTAATATGAGTTTATTACACCTTTACAATAATTCAGGAAGAACACATTCCACTTTTCCCTGAAGTCTCTATTTCCATATCAAGTAATATTCCTGAGGTTGAAAAATATTGGTACTCTGAAAATACATCAGAAATTTAGAAACTATTTATCATCTCAGGGAGAAACCAGTGACAGGTTCAAAAGAAGCATCTCTAAAATGTGATATTTTGGCAAATGGATTATTTTGAGTTGAAGGCAAACAATACTGAGCATACTCAGGGACAAAACTTAACCTCTCCAACTACCCAGAAGTACGCAGGTAGGAGAACTTGCCCAGAATTAGTTACCACCATCAATCCTTACGGTAGTCTATCCGATGGCAAGGCAAATAGCTTAATGGGCTCTTCTTATGAAACTGAATTACTGTCTTTTTCTGAAGTTTCAGGTCCCTATTCTATTCCTTAGCTTAAGATGGCATAAAAACTTCTTTTTGTTGGGCCTCCCTGGTGGTGCAGGCAGTTGAGCACAGCACTGTGAAGCTGTCCACAGCCTCTGCACTGCCAGTTTGATCCTGGCCGGCAGGAGAAATACCCACATGGTGCAGCAGATCTCTCCTGTCTCGCCTGCTGCTCCCCTCAGTAGTGAGTTTCAGTCAGAGTGCCTGTTCTGTTCCCCGCTCTGTCTTTGGTGAATCCTCTCACCCTCCTGCACATCTGGCCTGTACCCCGGTTCTTGCATGCATGAATAAATATATCTTTAAAAAAACTTACTTTTGTCTATTTTTTATAGCTCAAATCTAGGCCATATTAAGTTTTCTCTTGATAATCTGGCCTTTGTGAATGTAGGTACAACCAAAGAAAATAGAAGGGTAGACGGAAATTCTTCTACAGTGTGAATAATTATTTCTAAAATTTACAGGTGTTTGTGTTTTACCATAATATAGGATTCCGGATCACCTAATTCATGCTGAAATATCATCTCTAAAAGTCAACATTAAATGAGCACCTACATTTTGATATTTGTTCTACATTGTGGATTCCTGGCTTATTCCAGGAAAGGTACCTTTGTATGTAGCAATAATGTCCAGCTTCTACAGTAGGGCTCTCGTAGCTCTGTTGTACAACTGACAGCATACACATTAAACAATGAATAATCTAGCTGTACCTTAGAACATTTCAAATAGTCTGAATTAGAATTATGTGTGAAAAACGTGTTTTAGCATAAATCCAGTGAAATATTTTTTTTTTAAACTTGGGGTTCCCTTAGGAGAATAGGTTTTTTTTCTTTAAAGATTTTTTATTTATTTATATTATACAAGCACTGGGTACAGTCAGAAGCATGGGAGGGTGATAGAATTCACCAGAGCCAGAGCAGGGAACAGAACAGGCAGACCGACGAAATACACTACTGAGGGGGACAGCGGACGCGGCAGGAGAGGTCTGTGCGCCACGTGGGACCCTTGCCGGCGGCCAGGGATCGATCGACCCGGTGATGCAGAGTCCGTGGGCAGCATCGCAGCCCAGCGCTCAACCACTGCGCCACGAGGGGAGCCCCTAGTGAAATCTTTTGATGTTAATCTTGATCAAATTTTCAATATTTTTAGCAATTTTGCATCTGTAAAGTTTCTAGGAGGAAGACTTATGCTTTAATGTGTATGGTGTGGACATTGTTTTCCACATGTAGTTTGTATGGTTTCTCTCCAGTATGAATTTTCATATTTACAATATTTGAAAGATGGGTAATGGCTTTGCTATGCTTTCTACTTGGAAATTTTCTCTTACTCTTTGGTGTCTTTAAATTTTATATTTTTTTTCAAGGGTCCGTGTATCTATCTAGTCTCTCTAATGTATATTTTCTTTTTTTTTTTTTCAAGATTTATTTATGCATACAAGAACTGGGGTACAGGCCAGAGGTGCAGGGCATGAGAGGCTTCACCAGAGACATGGTGGGGAACTGAACAGGCAGACTGATGAAATACACTTCTGAGGGGAGCAGTGGGGGAGACAGGAGAGGTCTGCCACACCATGTGGGTCTTTTCCCTGCCGTCCGGCCGGGATTGAACCCATGCTGCAGAGGCTGCAGACAGCTTCACAGCACTGCGCTCAACCACCTGCGCCACAAGGGGAGGCCCTATGGTATATTTTCTGATGTTGAGTAAGATCTGAGCACAGAGGCCTCCCTGGTGGTGCAAGGGTTTAAGCATAGCACTGTGATGCTATCTGCAGCTTCAGCAGCAGCAGTTCAATCCCCAGCCGGCCAAGGAGCTACCCACATGGTGCAGCAGACCTCTCCTGTCTCGCACACCTCTCCCTCAGCAGTGTATTTCAGTCAGTCTGCCTGTATGCTCCCACTCTCTGATGAATCCTCTCTCTCTCTCTCACACACACACACACCACTTCTCTGCCTGTACCCGTTGTTTTGTTTTTTTTTTTTAATACAAGCACTTGGTACAGTCAGAAGTGCGGGAGGGTGAGAGAATCCACCAGAGCCAGAGCGAGGAGCAGAACAGGCAGACTGATTAAATACACTGCTGAGAGGAGCAGCGGGCGCGACAGGAGAGGTCTGCACGCCATGTGGGACCCTCACCGGTGGCCGGGGATAGAACCAATGTTGCAGTGGCTGCGGGCAGCTTCACAGCCCAGTGTTCAACCACTGCACCACCAGGGAGGCCCTGTATTCCAGTTCTTATATGCATAAATCTTTAAAAGAAAAAAGGATCTGAGGACAAGTGAAAGGCTTTGTAATTCTCTACATTTGTAAGTTTTCCCTGTAATATGTTCTCAAATGGAGTGAGACTGGAGATCTGGTTAACTGTTTTGCCATATATTTTGCATTTTTAAGATATTTCTCCAGAATGACTTCTCTAATAGTGCTTCAGATTGAGCATCCACTAAAGTTATTGTCACATTCTTAACCTTTGTAAAGTTCTAGAAATAATCCTCTGATGTTGACTAAGGCAATATTTCCATTTATAGGCTTTGCCACATTGTTTAGACATAGGTTTCTCTCCATTATGGGTATTCTGAGGTTCCTTCAGGGTTGAGCAACACTTTACAAATTTACCACACTATTTACATTTATGTTTCCTTCCATTATGGAGTATCTGAGGATGCTTCTCAACTGCTAAAAGCTTTGTCACACTCTTGAAATTTCTGTAAGCTTTTCTCTCCAGTATGGGCTTTCTTGTTCAGAGTGGAGCAGCTCTTAAAGGCTTTGTTGCATAATTTATATTTGTAAGGTTTCTCTATTATGGATTATCTGATGTTGCTTCAGGTTTGCAAAACACATAAAGGATTTGTCACATTCTTCACATTTGTAAGGTGTCTCTCCAGAGTGAATCTTCTGATGTTGCTTTAGATGTGAGGACCACATAAAGGTTTTGTGACATGCATTACATTTGTAAGGTTTCTCTCCAATATGGATCTTCTGATGTCTGTTCCGGGTTGAGTACCTGTTAAAGGCTTTACCACATTCTTTACATTTATAAGGTTTCTCTCCAGAATGAATTGTCTGATGTTGCTTCAGGTCTGACAAGTACCTAAAGGCTTTGTCACATACTTCACATTTGTAAGGTGTCTCTCCAGAGTGAATACCTTGATGCTGCTTCAGGTTTGAGGACCACATAAAGGCTTTCTCACAGTCTTTACATTTGTAAGGTTTCTCTCCACTATGCATTCTCTGATGTAGTTTCAGGGTTGAGGGCCTCTTAAAAGCTTTGCCACACAATTTACATCTGTAAGGTTTCTCTCCATTGTGGACTATCTGATGTTGCCTCAGGTCTGAGAAACACCTAAAGGCTTTGTGACATTCCTCACATTTGTAAGGTTTTTCTTCAGAATGAATCCTCTGATGTTGCCTCAGGTTTGAGGAGCACTTAAAGGCTTTGTCACATTTATTACATTTGTAAGGTTTCTCTCCAGTATGCATCCTCTGATGTTGTTCCAGATTTGAGGAGCACAGAAATGCTTTGTGACATTCATTACACTCGTAAAGTTTCTCTCTAGTATGGGTTTTCTGATGTTGGTTCAGGATTGAGCACTTCTTAAAGGCTTTGCCACATAATTTACATTTATAAGGTTTCTCTCCAGAATGAATTATCTGATGTTGCTTCAGGTCTGAAAAATAGCTAAAGACTTTATCACATCCTTCACATTTATAAGGGGTCTCTCCAGAGTGAATGCCTTGATGTCGCTTCAAGTGTGACGACCACATAAACGCTTTGTCACATTCATTACATTCATAAGGTTTCTCTCCAGTATGCTTTCTCTGATGTTGCTCCCTGCTTGAGGACCACATAAATGCTTTGCCACACAATTTACATTTGTAAGGTTTCTCTCCAGTATGCATCCTCTGATGTTGGTTCAGGTCTGAGAAACGCCTAAAGGCTTTGTGACATTCTTCACATTTGTAAGGTGTCTCTCCAGAGTGAATACCTTGATGTCTCTTCAGATCTGATGACCACAGAAAGGCTTTGTCACATTCTTTACATTTGTACGGTGTGTCTCCAGAATGACTACTTTGATGTCGCTTCAGGTTTGAGGAGCATATAAAGGCTTTGTCACATTCTTTACATTTGTAAGGTTTTTCTCCAGTATGCATTCTCTGATGTTGATTCAGATTTGAGCACCTCTTAAAGGCTTTGCCACACAGTTTACATTTGTAAGGTTTCTCTCCAGTATGCATCCTCTGATGTTGCTCTAGGACTGAAGACCACATAAATGCTTTGTCACACAATTTACATTTGTAAGGTTTCTCTCTAGTATGCAGTCTCTGATGTTGCTTCAGATCTGAGAAACACCTAAAGGCTTTGTGACATTCTTCACATTTGCAAGGTTTCTCTCTAGTATGCATTCTGTGATGCTGCTCCAGCTTTGACATGCACAGAAAGGCTTTGTCACATTCATCACATTTGTAAGGTTTCTCTCTGGTATGGATTTTCTGATGTTTATTCAGAGTTGAGCACCTGATAAAGGCTTTGCCACACAAATTACATTTGTAAGGTTTCTCTCCAGAATGAATCATCTGATGTTGCTTCAGATCTGAGAACCCCCTAAAGGCTTTCTTGCATACTTCACATTTGTAAGGTGTCTCTCCAGAGTGAATTATCTGATGTTGCTTCAGGTGTGATGACCTCCAAAAGGCTCCACTAGATTCACTACATCTGTAAGGCTTCTCTCCAGTGTGCATTCTCTGATGTTGCTCCAGGGTTGAGGAACACAGAAAGGTTTTGTCACATTCATTACATTTGTAAGGTTTCTCTCCGGTGTGGGTTTTTTTATGTTGGTTCAGGTTTGAGCTCCTCTTAAAGGTTTTGCCACATTCTTTACATTGGTGAGGTCTCTCTCCATTGTGGATTAGCTGATGTTGTTTAAGGTCTGAGAAACGCCTAAAGGCTTTGTCACATTCTTCATATTTGTAAGGTGTCTCTCCAGAGTGTATGACCTGATGTTGCTTCAGGTTTGAGGAGCCCACAAAGGCTTTGTCACAATCATTACACTTGTAAGGTTTCTCTCCAGAGTGAGTTCTCTGATGTTCCTTCAAAGTTAAGCTCCTCATAAAGGCTTTCTCACACTCTTTACACTTGTAAAGTTTCTCTCCAGTATAGTCTTTCTGATATTTTTTCAGGTGCATGAACCATCCAAAGGCTTTCCCACACTCTTTACATTTGTATGATTTCTCTCCAAAATGCATCATTTGATGTTCCTTCTGGCTTGAGCAAAACTTAAGTGTTTTGTCACATACTTCACATGTGTAAGTCATCTCTCCATTATAGGTTCTCTGCTGTACAGTAACACCTGAGAAACAAATGAAGTTGTACTGCATTATACACAATTGTGAAATTTCTCCCCAGAGTGAGTTACCTTAAGACTATTTAGATATTATAATGGATTAAAGACTATCCTAATTCTTTACAGTTAGATCTGGTGGAGACAGAGCAAATTAGGGATAGAAGCATTGCAAGAACAGAAACAGGAGGTGGGGTAGAAATGATTAACATAGTCGTTAAACCAGCTATAGAAATGAAAGCTCCTTAGGCAAGGACTTTTATAGAAAATATTCCTCAGAGGACCAGAGGTGGGGATATGGAGATTGAGGGCCATTAGAAAATCACCTATCCTTACAAATTAGCCCAATCACAAGTGATTGATTTAACAGTAGATAACAATTTCACAGAGGAATGACTCCCTCCCGAGAAAAGGAACACTATATTAGAACACCTGGAAAAATGCAGCTCTTGTTTGTTTCAGACTGTCTGCCTGTAGGCATGTCTATGCAGGCATCTCTTTTAATAAACTTTTCCCTTTGAAAAGTAGCAGCAGGGCCTCCCTGGTGGCACAAGGGTTAAGCACAGCACTGTGAAGCTATCCATAGTCTCTGCAACATGAGTTCGATCCCGGGCTGGCCAGGGCGCAATCCACATGGTGCAGCAGACCTCTCATGTCTCCCCCACTGCTCTCTTAGCAATGTATTTCAGTCATTCTGCCTGTTCTGCTCCCCACTCTGTCTCTGGTGAATCCTCTCACCCAACACCCCTCATACCTCTGGCCTGTAACCCAGTTTTTGTATGTATAAATAAATCTTTTAAATAAAATAAAATAAAATGTAACTTTCAGCTGCCTGTGTCTTTGTTTCCTGGGTAAATTTACCATGTGCCACTAAAAGGGGAACATTGCCAAAACTTTTCTCAGAGGTAACCCAAGGACTCTGCTCACTGAACCCTACTTCTTATCAGAACATCAGATCTAAAAAATATACATAAGCTGAGAGTGTAAAGGATGGAAAAAGATATTCAATTTAAGAGGTAATCATAAGACAGTAGGAGTGGTCTTGAAGCATGGTGACCTGAGATAAGCAGCCGGGGAGGGGGTGGGGGGGAGGTCCTGAGTGACAACCTTTTGCTCAGTTTCTTGTATGAATCTTGCTTCATGTTAGACCATGTACCACCATGATACAGAATGGACCTGGGGGGTGGTCCCATGACTACTGACCCTATACTCACTCGGTGGTATGCAGCTATATGACTCACCTCTTGGTATGTAGCCACGACACATGTGACCATGTACAGTTGCCAATGCAAACCCACCCAGAATCTTGTAGAAACTGAAAGTGTATATAAGCCCCAACTTCCTATAGAGGGGGCTCAGCATTAGGATGCAAATCTGCTAAGTCAGCACCAGTGCAATTAAACCTGCTTCTTGTTAGCCCTGGTGTCCAAGTTTCCTTGCACAATTTAACAGCCTTAGGGGTATTAAAAAATTGGATTTAATGATAAAAACTGTCATAGAAGACAACCAGTAAATGGAAATATAGAGCACCTCTATGGAACTATGACTATTGGTCCACCTAACATCAGAACACCCACATATATAAAGCAAATATTGACAAAATTTAAAAACAGAAACAAAACAAAATTTCAAAATTCCAATTTCAATAATGGATACAAAAAAAAAGCAGAATGGAAGTTGAAAAAGGAGACAGCTGACTTGAAAACATACCAATTAGATATAATAGACTTCCCTTTCCCAAAATACCCCACTCAACACAAGCAAGGTTTCAGTATCCAAGGACAGAGCAAAGGTTAAAAAACTAAATAAAAACCATAACACTACTTGCTGGAAAAGTACTAATAGTTCAATTCTCTAAGGTCCTGCTGCAGATAATTTTTAAATAATATGGATCTCTAAAGCAGCAAAATGGGCAAACAAATACAATACATGGGGATCTTAGATAGAAGGGAATATGACATGACAAGGAGAGAATTCTCCAGAATCTAGACACAAAGACATGGAACATTTTACCCTTCTAGCAGACAGACTTGAAAATTAGCCTAATAAAGTCAAAGAGATAGGAAAAGAAGAAAACACAAAGAAGCAAGTTAAGGTGATACAAGAGAACTCATTAAAATTCCATCACAAAAACTAAACAACCCTAATAGACATTGTCCAGAGAAAACATACAGATGGTCAATATATATGAATAGATGTTCATCATCTCTTTTATTAGGGTAATGCAAATTAAAACAATGATCACACCTGTCAGAATGGTTATTAGACAAAAGAGAAGAATGAACAAGTGCTGGAGAGGATGTGGAGAGAAGGAAATCCTTGCATACTAGTGGTGGGAATGTAAACTGGTGGAGCCACTGTAACAGGTTACAGATTCCTTAAAACACTGAAAAAGGAAATCAGATACCATCTAGTTATCCCATGTCTAGATAGGTATTTAACTAAAGACTACAAAATTATTATTCAGTGAGAAATGTGCACCATCATGTTCATTACAGCATCATTTACAATAGTCAAGACTGGAAAAAAAACACCTGCCCCCTAACAGATGATTAGGAAAAGAAGTTGAGGCATAAACACAATAGGTTAGTCCAACTATAAAAAAGGGATAAAGACCTGCTATTTGTAACAACATAGATGGACCTGGAGTATATTATGGTTAGTGAAATAAGTCAAATGGGGGAAAAAAGAAGCATACGTTTTCAATTATATACCACATAAGGAAACAAAGTAAGGAAATGAAAAAAATGAACTTTTAGGGCCTCCCTGGTGGTGCACCTCCCTGGTGGTGCACAGTGGTACAGCACTGTGAAGCTATCCGCAGCCACTTAAGCACGAGTTCAATTCCCGGCCGGGGAGCTACCCACATGGAGCAGCAGACCTCTCCTGTCTCGCCTGCTGCTCCCCTCAGCAGTGTGTTTCAGTCAGTCTGCCTGTTCTGTTCCCCACTCTGTCTCTGGTGAATCCTCTCACCCCCTGCACCTCTAGTTGTACCCCTGTTCTTATATGCATAAATCTTTTTTTAAAAAAAAGAACTTTTAGGGCCTCCCCGATGGCACAGCGGGTTGAGCGCAGCACTGTGAAGTTGTCCGCAGCCTCTGCAGTGAGGGTTAAATTCCTGGCTGGCCAGGGAGATACCCACATGGCACAGCAGACCTCTCCTGTCTCGCCTGCTGCTCCCTTCAGTAGTGCTTTCAGTCCATCTGCCTGTTCTGCTCCCCACTCTGTCTCTGGTGAATCTTCTTACCCTCCCACACCTCTAGCCTGTACCCCAGCAATTGTATAAATTTTTTTAAAAAAGAGAACTTTTAAAAATTTATTTATTTATGCATACAAGAACAGGGATACAGGCCAGAGGTGTGGGCGGTGAGAGGATTCACCACAGACAGAGTGGAGAACAGAACAGGTGGACTGACTGAAATACACTGCTTAGGGGAGCAGCAGTGGGTAGCTCCCCAGCCGGGGACTTAACTGGTGCTGCAGTGGCTACGGTTAGCTTCATCGGTTGCGTCTTAACCCCTTGTGCCACCAGGGAGTCCCAACTTTTAGACTATTGATATCAAATTGGTATTTACCAGGAGGGAAGAAGGAAGAGAGTGGATAAATCAGGTAAAATGAGTCAAATGTATGGTTAAGGATGAATCAGACTAGTGGTGAACATACTATATGTTCATTTATAATGATACAGATACAGATCCAAAAACCCATCTATAACTTGACCTATTGATATCTATATCTATAATGATTGTTATGAAGTGATAAGTTATCATTTTAGCATTTATTACTATATGTTGGGAAATGTTCTAAAAACTTTGAAGTCCCCACACCTCTGGCCCAGTTCTTGTAAGTATAAATTAAAAAAAAAAAAAAACTTAAAAAAATTACAACACAAAAACCCTGAAAAACATGCAGATTGTCCCAGGGTCCAAAAATGTATAGAGAAACAGATACCAGACACCCTTTGCTAGCCACAGGGAGGACTTTGAATGACCCTGTCAATATGATGCAAGATTGCAGGAGCAAGATCAGAATCTCTGATAGAAGAGCACGATAAGAACACAGCAGGAGCTGTCCCTCTGTGATAATAAAGAAAATACACCTAGGCTTCTCAAATATTATTTGTAAGAAACATCTTCCTAGGCCATATATCTTTTAAGATTTATTTATTTTTATACAAGAACTGGAGTACAGGCCAGATCCATGGGAGGGTGAGAGGATTCACCAGACAGAGCAGGGAACAGAACAGGGAGACTGAACAAATACACTGCTAAGGGGAGCAGCGGGGGAGACAGGAGAGGTCTCCCTCACGATATGGGATTCTCGCCAGCCAGCTGGGATCGAACCCATGCTGTAGAGGTTGCAGATAGCTTCACAGTGCGGTGCTCAACCGCCTGCGCCACCAGGGAGGCCCTCCTAGGCCATATTTTGAAGCCAGCTTCCCTTTGACTTTGGACCTGTCACATTTTTCATTTGCTTCATTCACTCCTACCTACCTGGCGTCATGACCATTGCTTCCTTTCTCCTCCTCTCACAGGGCTCTTTTCTTTGTTTCAAAAAGATGACCAGGTCAGGCTTAGAGATAGTGAAACCTGTTTATCATAAAATGGAACCCAACTTTTGCTGGTCATTCTCCAATCTCCCATTCACTAATGTTATCAATAGGGAAAAGAGAACATTATATTCTAGAAAACTATTTCACTAAACAATGATTCCTGAGGGCACATTCTGGTAACTTAGGAAATGTTCAACTTTCAGGCCCTGATGTCTACTTCCAATAACTGTCGAATCAAAAATCAGGAAAGGTTATTTTGTAATTTCAGATGTGGGCAAAATATTGCATGTCACTGAATTTCTACAATTGCTAACAATCTAGAAGGAACAATACAGATCACCTCAAGAAAACAAAGTGTCACGGTCATTATGAAACTTGTGAAGATTTTCTTCCTGCCAAGGAATTCATAATTATTTATTTTAAACATTGATTTCAAATTCAGTCATACAGCAGCACCTCCAAGATCACTGTAGAAATGATGGAACTGAAACTCTGGGTGAATTATGAATTATGGAGAGAAGTTGTCCTCACCCAAGGACACCAGGTTCCTGTAGTTCTCCAACATCACATCCCTGTACAATTCCCGCTGAGCCTGGTCCAGGCATTCCCACTCCTCCTGGGAGAATTCTATGGACACATCTCTCAAGGTCAATAGTCCCTGAAATCAAAGAAAACGTATTTATCAAATGGTTACTGTAATGTACATTATTTCAACAAATATGAAAAGAGAGGGTTAAGAAACTGGTTCTGACATAGGTAAGCAACATAAATTATCCAGTAAGAGAATTTTTAAAGCAAAAATTTAATCTAATATTTTCATAATGCCCAGGAAGAGAATGACATAAGATCTATAAAACTGATGGGGTACTATAATTTTATGGAAGATTAAATATGTAGTCAAGGCATCTAGACGTAATGTGTTGAGTGCTACACTCTATGTTACAGATAAGCTGTGTGCATTTCTCAGATAAGAAAGTCATGGTGAGTAAAAATAGAACTTATCAAATGTTCATGTGAACAACAATGCAGTGGAGACCTTGTTAAAATACAGGTGCTGATTCAGAAGTTCCAGGGGGAACCTTAGTCACGCCTAACAAGTTCTCCAGTGACTCTCCCTCAAGGGTCACATTTTTAACTTACAAAGCTATAGAAATAACAAGGGGAGAAATTAAAAATAAGTTGGAACTAAAAGCTTTGTGTTTTTTTTTTTAAAGATTATTTATGCATACAAGAGCTGGGGTGTAGGCCAGAGGTGCAGGGGGTAAGTGAGAGGATTCACCAGAGACAGAGTGGGGAACAGAACAGGGAGACTGACTGAAACACACTGTTGAGGGGAGCAGCAGGCGAGACAGGAGAGGTCTGCTGTGCCATGTGGGTTGGCTCTCTGGCCTGGACTCGGACTCATGCTGCAGTGGCTGCGGACAGCTTCATAGTGCTGAGACTTAACTCCTGCGTCACCAAGACGCCCCGGAACTGAAAGTTTTATGACAAATATACTTCCTAATATAACAGCAATGATGACTACAATAATCACTTTTTGAATATTTACTATACATTAACTAAGTTTTAGAAAATATTGCCAAAAGTCTTTGAAGTACTTTTCTTCATTTTGTAGAATACTAAATTAATAGAAAATTGTAGAGTCTAGGCTTTAACCCAATTTATCTGAGAATTTATGAATTTAAGTATGAACACATAGCTCAATCAATATTTAAGACAACCCTAAAAGAATGGACATATCTGGTTTTTTGTTTTTTTTTTTTTTTGTGGGACCCTTGCCGGTGGCCGGGGATCAAACTGGCGCTGCAGAGGCTGCAGGCAGCCTCGCAACCCAGCACTCAACCGCTGCGCCACCAGGGGAGGCCCCATACCTGGTTTCTTAAATGGTTAATGAAAACAAAGACTAAATATCACAGATTTGATCTAAAACCTTTTATATTTCATAGATAAAAATTACCAATTCACATATTAAAATACTAAAAGAGTAAAATATTTTCACTAGGAAATATTTTAGTTGTATAAATCATATGTATTTCTGGATGATGACTTTTGTGTTTTTTTTAAACATACTGTGGAAACAAACATATAAAATAATGTAACCTAAAATAAAAACTTTTATTTGGCAGTCTTTAAAATTTTATGATTTATCTATAATATGTACCAAGTACTATTTTAGAATTTTAATACAAGCATATGATCCCTGTTATCTTTTTTTTTAAAGATTTATTTATTTATTTATACAAGCACTGGGTATAGTCAGAAGCACGGGAGGGTGAGAGAATTCACCAGAGCCAGAGGGGAGAGCAGAGCAGGCAGATTGACGGAAGTACACTGCTGAGGGGAGTAGTGGGCGGCAGGAGAGGTCTGCGCGCCATGTGGGACCCTCGCCCAGTGGCCGGGGATCGAACCGGCTCTGCAGAGGCTGCGGGCAGCCTCAGAGCCCAGCGCTCAACCGCTGCGCCACCGGGGAGGCCCCCTTGTTACCATTTTTTTAAAAAGATTTATTTATTTATGCATATAAGAGCTGGGGTACAGGCCAGAGATATGGGGGACGGAGGGGCAGGGGTGAGAGGATTCACCAGAGACAGAGTGGTAAACAGAACAGGCAGACTGACCGAAATACACTGCTGAGGGGAGCAGTGGGCGAGTCTGGAGAGGTCTGCTGTGCCATGTGGGTTGCTCCCTGGCCGGCCAGGGATCAAACTCATGCAGAGGCTGCGGATTTGCTTCATAGTGCAGTGCTTAACCCCTTGCACCACCAGGGAGGCCCTATGATCCTTGTTTTCTCTATGAAATTATAAAAAATCATAAAGAAGAATATATCTGATATGACTATGGAATGAAACAGAAACTTACAGGACTTGGGCCCCAATGAGTTAGAACCTTCACTTGCAAAAGCCAATACCTCCAGTAAACAAAGGTGAGAGACTTCATTTTCCAAAACAAATGTTGAACAATGACAAACTCAGAGGAAATGGAATTGCCACATGAAATGTGATGGTTTATGTATAACAGTTAAACTCCCACAATCACTACTAAGAAAAATGGGGAAAATATTAAGGTTATAGTGGGGGAATCTGACAAAGTATTTATACCATGTCAACAAAGATAACATCAGCTCTCATGCACAAATTGATTATCAGGGGCCTGATGCAGACAGACAGCACATCACTACTGTGTTACTGTTTGCAAGACAAAAATAGATTGTAACATGAATTGAATCACAAGTTAACAATTTTTGTGCTAATTTTAAGATCCCTTTGGCTCCCATGTCCTGTAATCTTTAGCATATTTTATTTTTTTTTAGAGATGTATTTATTTATTCATACAAGAACTGGGATGTAGGCCAGAGGTGTGGTGGTGAGAGGATTCACCAGAGACAGAGTGAGGAGCAGAGCAGGCAGATTTACTGAAATACACTGCTGAGGGGAGCAGTGGCAAGACAGAAGAGATCTGCTGTGACAGATGTGGGTTAGTTCACAGGCTGGAGATCGAATTCAGGCCATCATGGTGAGAGTGCTGAGACTTAACCCCTAGGCGACCAGGGAGACCCTGCATGTTTAATTTTAATAAACTTTTTCTGCTGAACTTAGAGTTGTGTTGTAGGAAGAAGATCAGCGTGAGGCCAGAGGCATGGGGTGAAAAAATTCACCGGAAACAGAGTGGGGAACAGAATAGGGAAATTTAGTGAAACGCCCCACCAACAGAAGCAGCAGGGAATATAGGAGAGGTCTGCTGTGCCTTTAGTGTATTTTTTTTTAATATTTTATTTTATATAATTCTTACATCATTTTTCATCTTTGCACAATGTATGCATTTTCATTATGGTTATATTCCCCATACAATTGCACCTCCCCCCTTATTTTGACTCTAGTCCTTCCTGTCCCCGCTCCTCCCTACCCCTCCCCTCCCCGTAGTGTGTCTCTGGTTTATAGTTGCTTGTTGATTTTGATTTCTACTTTGTATTGATTATACTTATTTCCTGGTCTCTTATTTAAGTTTTCTAAATTCCTGCTATAAGTGAGACCATCTGGTATTTTTCTTTTTCTTTCTGATTTATTAGTAAGTCTTCCTCTAGCATTTTATGCAGCAAGGCTCTCTTTCATTTCCACAACTTTCTGGATTATTCTGGACAACAATGTTTATTTGTGCATTTCCCTACACTTAAAAAAAATTTTTTTTTAAGATTTATTTATTTATACAAGCACTGAGTACAGTTAGAAGCGCGGGAGAGTGAGAGAATTCACCAGAGCCAGAGCAGGGAGCAGAGCAGGCAGAAGGACTGAAGTACACTGCTGAAGGGAGCAGTGGGTGGCAGGCGAGGTTTGCGTGCCATGTGGGACCGTCCTCCGGTGGCCAGGAGCAGCCGGGGATCGAACTGGCACTGCAGAGGCTGTGGGCAGCTTCGCAACCCAGCGCTCAACCTCTGCGCCACCGGGGAGGCCCCACTTCAAAATTTTATTTCATCACTGATATCCAAGGACCTGATCCCATCCCCTAAAAGAATCTTGCTAGTATGCATTTCTAGGCTGAAGGTTCATAAAGGGGAAGGGTTCAAGTTGCAGGTCATTAATTATGGTGGGAATTCTCATGTTGAATAAGAAGGCAAGATAGAGAAAGTGGAGAAATAAAGCTCTGGAATATCATAACACATATTCAAAAGCTAACCCTGACTATCATGAGAAGCAAACAAAAACAACTTCTTGAGAAGAAAGTTGTGACAAAGGAACCCCAGGAGAGAAGAGAAGGCACCCAAGTCCTCAAGTGCTTGCCATTTCAGGAGGAAAAGACGACACAGCCTCTGACCTGAGGCATGAAACTTACCTGAGAACTTGCCATTTCTTCCTCTTCCTTCTCCTCTTCTGGCTGCTTTCTCAGGAGATACTAGGTGGAGAAATATACCTGCAATTGAGAATAGTCCTTTTAGGCACCAATAGACTCTCACCGCCTGCTCCCACAATACCCACAGGTAGAAGGACCCAAGAATGCTGAAAACTCCCCTCTCTGCTGTGTTTTGTCCCAGGACAGATACAAGTAAAATATGCTCATGCATGGAGACCAATAGTGAGTTTCTCCTTCCTGTCCTCAAGGGCCTGTCCCTCTCACAAATCCCCACAAATTCTGCTACCACATGAGAGAAGTGGGCTGCACTGGCCTGCTCCTGCCAAACTCCTGTAGAGAAGAACCTGTCACCACCCTTAGAATCAAATGCTGCTCAACCCTCATAATTATCTAGGACCCTGCAGTTTAACCCTGGTCTTCTCTTAGATTCATCTAGAATATTTGATTGAATATTGATATTCCCAAGCAGATCAAAAGAATCCATGTGGGGTTAGGGGAGGGAGCCCAGATGATGCTTTTTTGTCAGTGGCACATGTAACCCTAACAGGAATCCAAAATGACACTCCCATTGCAGTCAGGCTTTCCAACATAAATGTGCAGACATCACAGGGTGATCCAGGACCCACTCTAAGAAATTGTGATCCTGCATGTTTGGAGTAGGGCCCATGAACTGGTATCTAAACAAGTTCTTTTATAAAAAATTTATTTTAGTTTATTTTTTTTATAGAGGCATGTTTTATTTATTTATTTATTTGTTTGTTTTGTTTATACAAGCACTGGGTACAGTCAGAAGTGTGGGAGGGTGAGAGAATTCACCAGAGCCAGAGCGGGGAGCAGAGCAGGCAGAAGGACCGAAGTACACTGCTGAGGGGAGCAGCGGGCGGCAGGAGAGGTCTGCGCGCCATGTGGGACCCTCCTCCGGTGGCCGGGGAGCAGCTGGGGATTGAACCGGCGCCGCAGAGGCCGCGGGCAGCTTCGCAACCCAGCGCTCAACCGCTGCGCCACTGGGGAGGCCCAACAAGTTCTTTTATAGTGTTGGCGTTGCTCCCTCTACACCCACAATCAGCTGCACTAAGATAGGGACACAGCACACCTGGGCCTCTCACCCCCACCATCTATCTCAACACTGAACTGTTTCTGTGAAGATCACTAATCACCTTCCTGAGAGACCATATGGTTCATAATAGACCACTATTAAAGTCACCAGAGGCTGGAAGAGGGTTTAATGTCTGAGCGAGTCTGTAAAATGATGCATAAACATTAACAGTGTTTATTGTCTATCGACTCTGTGCTCAGTGCCATTCTGTGCCTGTGTCAGGAACCTCACTTGGGTGATGTAACATTAACTCACTATTCCCTGTGAGTTGAGTGCTAAGTGCCCCGTAATTCACATGAAGATGCGTAAGAGCTCCACAGAAATGTACAAATTGTCCCAGGCCCCCCAAAGCAGTGCCCACAATGAATAATGGAGACCAGATCACACAGACCCTCACAATCTAAGGAGAGGACTCTGGCTCTCACTGAGAATGTTACAGAAGATCATGGAGCAGGAGAATCCTGAGAGGACTTAGGGCTTTGAGTGTTGGATAACAGATGCCCCTCTGGGAGAGCAAGACCTGCCAAGTAAGAGGAACTGGGAATTTCTAAGACATCATTTCCATGGAAGCTGAGCTTCCCCAACTGCATTTGAAGGTCTGGCTTCCTCCTTGCCCTCTGAGCCCTCACCTGTGTCATATTATCAGTCACTCCCACCTACCTGGGGATGGGACCACTGTCTCCTTTCTCTTCACACACCACAGCTCCTTCTCTTGCTCCCAAAAGGTTACTAGGTCTGGCTTAGAGACAGTGGAATCCATTTACTAGAAAAAAGAATATGAGATTTGTGGAAGAGTCTCCAATTTCCCATCCAGTATAGTGATTACAGAGGAGAGAGGACACTGTACAAGACTGCAAAAAATGACGTCCCAAAAGACTGTTGTCTGACAGCACCCCCACTGTAGCTAGAAACTAAAAAGGTTCAAATCCTGAGTTCCCTCTTCAAGAAGTACTGATTCAAATGAAAGAGGTGGAAAGTGAATTTTAAATTGTGGGAAACAATATTTTATTTCACTGAACTTCTAGATTTATTACTAATGCAGAGTAAGCATAAAGATCACCTCCCAAATAAGGGGGAAAGGAAGGCTAAAATCATGAAACATCCTGAAGACTTTCTTTTCTACACCAACTAATCCCCATTTTTTCCTTTAGGCAGGGATCTGATACGCTATCACACACAGGGGAAGTCCCCAGGAGACCTGTACAGCAAAGAAAGAAAACCCTAAGTGTGGACTGGGTGTCCTTACCCAGAAGACCAGAAGATCTCTAACATCACACCCCTGAACAACGCTGCTGAGCCTGGCCCAGGCATCCCCACTCCTCCTGGAGAACACTGTTGCCACATCAGGTCAACGGTCCCTGAAAAAAAAAAAAGAAAAAATTACCAAGGGTCATGGTGAGGTAAGGAAACTGAGTGTGTGTTAGTGACCATAATTATCTATTTTTAAGCTAATTTTTACACAGTTATTTTCTATAATCAATTTTCTACCTCCTAGGAAAAAGGATGAATCGAGATCCACAAAATCACTGCAATAATCTATTCTCCTGGAAGATGAATGAAAAAATTAAAGCATCAACACAGGCATATACACCTTGAGTGCTGTTTTTATGTAATAACTGACAAGTTGTACACATTTCTGAGATGGAAAACTAGAACTAAACAAGAAGTTTACTTTTCAAATTTAATATGTATACCCATGAATTGGAGATGCTGTGAAAATGCATAATGACTCAAGAGTTCTGAGGTAAAGTCTGAGTTTGTGCATTTTTAACACTCATTTTTTTTAACCTTTCCTGCCAAAACCTTGGCAGGTCACACATTTGAATAACAAAGAGGGAGAAAATGGAGGAAAACAATTCTTAGTTGATATGGAAATAAGACAACATGAACATTTTTTTTTGGTCCATATAGGTGGAGCCAATTCTTCTTTGTGCCCGGCTGTCCTGCATGTCACAAGACATTTAGAGATTTAAAGTTCCAGGTTATGAAATCATTAACAACTAAAAAAAAATCCTCAGCCATTTTATGTGCTAGAGTTTACAAATGTGATTGTCCTTTATGTCAATACAATGAAAATTCTCTATTTGTCATAAAGAGCAAACAAAGTAGGGCCTCCCTGGTGGTAAAGGCGGTTGAGCACAGGGCAGTGAAGCTGTCTGCAGCCTCTGCAGTGCTGTTTTGGTCTCTGGTGGCCGCAGAGATACCCACATGGTGCAGCAAACCTCTCCTGTCTCGCCCACTACTCCCCTCAGCAGTGTATTTCAGTCAGCCTGCCTGTTCTGTTCCCCGCTGTCTCTGGTGAATCCTCTCACCCTCCCGCAAATCTGGCCTGTACCCCAGTTCTTGTATAAACAAATAAACTTTTTTTAAAAAAAAAGAGCAAACAAAGTAGTACCCATAAGTGGGGGCAACCTATCAAATAAGTGAACTTTTATTTTAAACGTTTGAAGGCCATCTTTCCAAAATGTATGGCACCCATTCTAGACTTTTGTAAATCAAGTAACCGGTTTATATTTTCATGATAAGTGAGGTCAAAATTATGAGCATCAGAGTTCTGTGCTACGTATCCCAAAGAACTCATAAGATACACTGATGAATTTTCACATAAGGAAAAAACCCTCATATTTCTGTGCTTTCTGGGGGTTTCCCTGGTGGCCTAAGGGTTAAGTCTCAGCACTGCGCTGTCACCGCTATGGCCTGAGTTCAATCCTGGCCAGGGAGCTGACCCACATGGCGCAGCAGACCTCTCCTGTCTCTTCCCTTGCTCCCTTTAACAGTGTTATTTCAGTAAATCTGACTGTTCCGCTCCCCACTCTGTCTCTGGTGAATCCTCTTGATCCCTTGCACCTCTGGCTTATACCACAGTTCTATGTTGAAAAAAAAAGACTTCTGTGCTTTTTGTATATTTCTCTTTTTTAAATGTATTTTGAAACATGAAACCAGAACTGAATAGAAAAACAGAAATTACACTGATAAATATTTTTAGTTATTTGCAATAAAAATAAAGCCCCCCTGCCAAGATGAAAATCAATTCTCAGGAGGGGAGCAAAGAAGTTCAGAGTTTTAACAAAATTATGTAAATGTCTATACCAAGTATTAAATGGTTTGGCAGCACAACCATCAGAGTCAATCAAAACAAAAATCTCACACACAAGGCCCTGGTCCCTGACCACATCCCTGCAGGAGCGGGGGTGGGGAGGCTGTCCACCACCACCATCGATGCCTCCTGGGGCTGTCTTTGAGTCTGATTTTCATATTTGGTCTATTTCACTCCTCCATTAATTCTCAAAACTCTTCCACTCCCATCATAGCATCACCTTCATCTCCAGTTGCTACTTCTAATCCACCAGGGCAGGAATGCAGACAGCCAATCTCTCAGAACCAGACATCCAGCTTAGTGCAGGTAACAGCCTTTGAGTGAGGGCCTAAAAGTCTCTTGCATGAAGCAAAGCGTATGATTTTTTTTTTTTTAACTGCATGAGTGATGACAACTATTTTTGAATTTCAGAGGCCATAGTATTTATTTCTTATTTCCCAGCTGTGGGAGTCAGTCAGACTTCCCTAGAGTTCCCCGTTTGCACTCAAGTCCACACTGGCTGGGACCGGTCTTCCTGCACATGCAAGACATTTAAGGGCTCCTGGGCATCAAGTGTCAGCTGCTCTAGCACACATGGCAACAACTGAAACACATTCCCATGTATTCCCACATGGGAAGGGCCAGGAAGATGGCCAGTTCAAAAATGACCCCACACCCAGCTTCTGCAGGCTGACTATCTATACTAAGCTGGTTTGGCCCTAATGGGAGTTCCATGGAACCAGTCTGGACAAAACAGACATCCTCCGCCCACAGCAATACGCTTTGGTAAAATCAAAGTGTCAAGTTGATAACATTTACAAGAGCAACCAAAACCTCAAA